CAATGCAGTGCGTGCTCGGGGGGAGAACAGCACGGATAGAGTTGCAGTAGCAGGGAAGGAATATCGGAGCAAGGCAGAACCAGGGAGGCAGGGACTGTCCTTCGCTTGGGACATGGGCGCATCCTCTAACAGAGGCGATTAGGAGCGATGTCACCCTTCCCGTGGGTGCCTGTAGGTGCCACTGGAAAAGCCACGGGCTCTTACGTGGGCTGAGATTGGGCTGCCGTCTCTGGGAGGAAGACCTTGTTGCAGACCACGTACCTGTTGGTGTGCGAATTGTTGTGCATGAACCAGCTCCGGTTATTGTCCACGTACATGGCCCAGGCCTTGTCGTCCTTGCCCAGCATGGCATCCTTCAGGACATCAATGCGTGCCACACCAAAGGCCGGGTCAGGGTGGTTATCGTAACGATCGATTGACAGCTCCCAGTAATGGAGCCCTTTGGAAAAGCCCGTTTTCCCCAGCACAACCCTGTCATCATAGCTGTTGCAGGTGACAGTCAGGTTGTCATTAGAAAAGATGATGTCAGCATGGGCAGAGGCAGGATCGAAAGAAAACCAAGCAACTGGAACACACAAACAACATCAGGTTAGACTGGCGGGAGCGCGGCCATCGGCGACCGAGCCACGTGGAGCGGACACGAAACAGCGCATGCTGCATGCAGGGCCGACGCGCGGGGCGAAGGCACGGCGGGGGCTCGGGCCGCTGCCCACCGAGGCGGCAGCGAGAAGCGGGCAGGGAGCTGCGGAGCGGAGGGGGCTGCTGGCTGACGGTGGGCACCTTCCGTCACGGAGGGACGCTTGGAGCTTCTGCAGCTGCAGCCTGCCAGCGCGGCTGAGGTTTTACGGCCGGGACTTGGATGGGTTTTGCTCTTGCTGCTCCCCGCTGCCTGTCTGTCTCCATCCCCTCCCACTGTCTGTCTGTCTCAGCTTGCGAGCCCGCAGGATCCTCACAATCTCCTAAAATTTGACCCTAGCAGAAGGAGATGTGCGATCCTGGCCAGGTCTCCAGGCTCTAGCTAACGTAACTTACTCCTACGACTAAGGGTTACTCATGCAAACAACAGTTTGCAGGGTCAGGCCCAGCGTGGGAAGGGGACTGAGGATGAGGAGAGAAACGGTGCGTGTGTGTTTGGGGGCTGGCAGTCCTGGGAACCAAAAGCACATACAGAGGTCTACATTGACAGAGATGCTACGTCACACCGTCCCTGCAGAGCAACCGGCCACACGTAAGACAAGAGCTAGCTCATGGGAAGGCTGGAAATGCCCCAAAACCTCCACGGCTCGGTACAGCTGCTGGTTTAAACGCACAGGACTCGGATACTGCAAATCTGACAGACAGAGGGTCACGTCCTCGACAAGACACAGGCACGGGGTTTCACGAGCCACCAGCCCGGTTCCCCAGGTGGTTTTCTCCAGCGGTCACTGAAACGTGAACTGACACATCCACAAAACACTCTCACGCCTGCAGGAGTAAATACGTCTTAAAAAATAAAACACTCTGGTGAGATTTATTCATTGATTTATTGGATCGTTTCACAAGACAGCTCACATGCACGCGGGTGCCCCAGTTTTGCAACTTGACGGAGGCGATTCCGTACCTGCCACCATTTTTTTAATGTCAACTGTGGTCATTCCCAAGGAAAGGCATGCAGGAGAGAAAACAGCACGTAAAGGTGGGTAAAGAAAGGAATGAGAAATAATTTCTGCTTGCCTGCTTCTCCAGCGAGCGCAGGGACCGTTCAGCGTTTTGCATAAAGGTGGGGAGAGATGGAGCGAGGATGGGCTGGCAGCGGCGCGGGCTGGCCGGCACGGCGTGCGAGCTCCCGAGGCGGGAATCCCGCTGGGCTGGGCACGGGGCTCCTTCTCCCAGGGGAATGAACGGGCCCGGCCTCGCAGGAGGCAGCCTGCGCGGGACACGCCGGCAGCTACAACAAGCGCTCGCTCCAATTAGCGGCAGAGGGGCTAATCGCCTCCTTGGCATTCAAGTGCCCTTAATGAACCGGAATACGTATTGCTTTGAGCAGCGGGATCAGTTCTTAATTACAGGGCCGCTTCCAGAGCACTGACTTCAGGCTTCTCTTTAAAACCATATGGGGGAAAACTTAAAATGCCTTTACATCATATGGCAATGACCATTCCTCCTCCAAATTTGCCTACTGCCATGACCTCTGAGAGCGCCCTGCGAGCAGGGTAGGCACAAGAAATGCTGCTCACTCGCCAAAGAAAGGTTAAAGATTGAAAAAAGAAAGAAAAAAGGATGAGCAACATGGAGTAGGTGCCAGTTAATTGTAATAAATATACTTGCCTAATTGAGAGTAAGGCGTTCCTTGTGTGTCAAAATTGCATCCTATAAAGAGATACTACATTTCACACATCACAGCTAAGAAATAACAACCGCCTGAAAAACACTCACGAACATTTAACCTTTAACTAAGCGTCCAGCCAGCCACAGGAGGCCTGATTCATTAAAAGCCAGAGAGCATGGAGAGGGGTGGCAAATAGGAGCCGTGAGTTTGAGTGCGGACTGTTGGCCGTCTGGGCGACTTTCACCTCTGGGAAGCGTGGAGGAGCTGCTCTTTCATTGCCAGATCCCATCACAGCCTTCAAGAGCAGCAAGTCTGATTGCTGCCTGCTCGGGATGCCAAATCGTTGGACCTTCCCCCAGAAAAGGGGCAGGAAATTTTAGCCTTGGCAGAATATCTTAGCTGCTTGGTAAGTACTCTCTAGATTGACCCTCAGTTGAATCACTTAAAGTAAAACCCCACAGTGGTGCGCCCAGTGCATAGGGACCACCGAGCTCTGCCTGCAGCGTGTGCGGTCTGGGCGGGAGCGGAGCAGGAGAGGGGGTCCCTGGGGGAGATGCTTGGCCTCAGCCCCCCGCTAGCACCCAAAGGGTGTAGCTTGGACTGCAGCTGCACGGGCAGGAGGCGTTGGGGTGCCCTTCACCCTCCCGTGACTGCAGCTGCTGGCTGCAAACACCTCCTGGGAGCCAGGCTGTAGCCGGGGACCGATCCAGGAGCTCGTCCTGATCCAGGAACTTGTCCTCGCCAGGAGGAGAGGGCAACGTGAAGCCCCACGTTGGCACTGCACGGGAGGGCGTTCGTGACGGGTGCTGGATTTTAAGGAAAACCCTGTCTTGCTGGGTGACTGGTTTCCACCTCTCCTCTGGCAAGGAAGCAGGCTTTTCACCGTGCTGACGTGCGTGCTGGCGGGAAAGCGCCTGGCCGCAGTTGCGCTCCATGGTGAGTGCCAAGCAGCACCTCCCGAGGCTGTTTTAATGAATCGCGCCCCGTGCCCCTATTCAAAGAGTGGTTTTCAAGGTCTCTGTGCATCGCTGCGATACAAGTTCACTGGAGTGCCGAACAGCACGGACACACGGGCACTTTCTGGACCCCGTTTTGCCCTGTCCCACCACCCCAGACCGTGGCTGCAGAGGGCCGTACTGCACACACAAGGATCGCTCGCGGCCGTCGCAGTGGATCCGGCTACACTGGACACAAAGTAAGAAACGCCCGTAACAAAACAGAGTTCAAGCCATTAGCGCACAGCAGTACGATGAGAAAAAAAAACATAAAAAAGCACAAAGAAAAGAAAGTTGCAGGGCCCCCGGTTATTCTGGCAAGGGTCATGCTGCAGCATTCCTCATTCCGGGTTATGGGATGGAAATCAAACAATCGTGGGCCCCCACTCTTCCCGGGCTTACACCAGAGAAAGCTGTGATTTACTCCACTGGAGCCCATGGAGCGGTGTAAATCCAGAGCGGTGGAAGAATCAGGGCCCAGGATCTTTAGCAGTGGAAGATGTGCAACGACTGGTTAGAAAACAGCTCTGAGAGATGCACTGCGCCTGCGCCTCCTTCGCTGGCTGCCCGATACCGTCACTCATTCTGCCTGTGCTGCCTACGCTGCCTATGTCCCGCCACAGCCCGCCAGGACCGGGCGCAAGGAGGCAAGCAAAGCGCTCGTGGGCGCTGCCAGACGAGCAAGGTATCACGGGAGTGGTTTCCTCTGCTCTGCAGAAAACAAGACTTCGATACGATCACGTCTGGTTTTGCAAAAGCCGAGCCCAGTGCTCAAAGCTGAGCCGACGAGAGCCCACATCTTCAGGGTCTTAAGAAGCCAGACTGCAAGGGCTCTGTGAGCTGGCCTTAGCTAGACCTTGCTTGCATCTAGACTTGCTTCTTTCTTAAGGGGGGTCTAGATTTAATTGAGCAAGCTAATTTCACAGAACAAATCTCACAGCAGAGGCTGCGTTTTCTGGTTGTATAGGGAAAGCAAACCATCCTGATGTCCCCACAGGTTTCTCCCAGGGAGGGCCTGTTCTTCTGACTGTCCCTAGACACAAGATCAATACAAACCAGAGATGAGGGATCTGCTCTGCCGGCTGGCTGTGCAAAACGGTTCAGCCACGCCGGCCCTGCCAAGAACAGCACCCACGTAAGGAGTTACGGTGCTGCTCTGTCACCCCGCGCCTGAAACTGCCCATGCTGGTACGTAGAGATGAACACACCACAAGAACTACGCCACTGAAAGTCCCGCCGCGGCAGGAGCAGGCCACTGACAAACAGAAGGAGCTCCCCCTGCCATCCGCATGTCATGGGAAAAACAAACACAACGGAACAAAACAAACAAATACTTTGGAGATGCCCAGAAGCACAGACCAAGAGGAAATGCCAGAGGCACTCAGCTCACCGGCTGAATTCAGGGACTGTAAAGAAGAATGCAAGCTCAGCTGGTGGGCCGAAGATCTTAGCTCAAAGTAGGATCTCCCCGGAAAGCTGGGTTGTAGATTAAGGGTGGAGGAGAAAGGACTCATTCTACGAAGCTGCGATCTTTCCAAAGGCACTGGAAAAGGGAGGGTCTGTTCTTCTGACTGCGTGTCTAAACGTAAGATCAATGCAAACTAGAGATCAGAAATCGGATCTGCTGGACGGTGTCGCTCCATTGCCCGAGACCAGACCTCGGACCGGAGCACAGACGCTTCGGCACGCACGGCCCCTGCTTTGCTGCAGCGAGCGTGCGTACGGTGCGCGGAGCAGAAATGTCTGGTGCTGTGCAACCCAGCGAGACCCTTCGGGAAAGCCTTGCCTCTGACAGTGCCGGCAATAAAGATATTTTCATCTTCCAAAAGGTTCCCATGTCATCATGACAAATTCAATACGTTTTTCTTTAAAGTGAGTCCTGCACCTCTTCACAGTAATGCACCTACAAAAATTCACAAGTTACCATGCACCCTTCCCATCGTTCTTCAATAAATCTCATACCTTTTTGTGCACAATAATTACTGGCATAAAAGCTAGTCGGTTGGTCACGCTGAAAGGCATTTTGCAGGGCTGTACTAAGCTATATAACCCTAAGTACCACCGAGCACCCACCTTACTCAAAGGCTGTTCGGGATGTTGTGTTCTTGGTATCCCTTTGTACCTGTCAAAACACATCTGAGCCTTACAGTAAGAATTTAACTCATGTGATTCACAGCAAAATGTCAGAGTAGAGGGAACCTCTCGGGTCATCGGCTTCCGTTCCCCGCTACCACAAACGGTCACCTCCTGCAATTTCTTCCCTAGCCTTGTCAAGGGTATACGTTAACACGAAAATGTAGGATCCACCATCCTCCACATATTCCAATCAGATAAACTCCTGGACACCGCATCCCCAGCCTTCCTGTCTCGGCTGTAAATATGGATTGAGCTGGAAAGCATGTTAAAACAGATAAAAGGAAGCGTTTCTTTGCACAGTGGATTGTAACTTCTGCAACTTGCTGCTGCGGAGGCTGTGGAAGCAAAGAGTGTCAGTGGGTTCAGACAGGGGTTAAATAAATTATTGCACACCAGGTCAATAAACGGAGCTCAGGGTTAGGGAGGGACGTGCCCTCTAACACCTACCAAGAGTGAGAGGAACTACTACCAAGAGTAGCCGGGCTCATGGCTCTCCCTAACTAGCGTCTTATGTTCCCATAGCTCCTTGCAGCGTCTCTCCCCTTGTGTTGTTCACCCCTTTCCAAAAGCTGCCGGTTAAAAAGCCCTGGCTGCTGCTGAGGGTCACTCCATGGCTGGTAAGGAACTTAAAGCTGGGCCCCCGATGAGGAACTGGGCTTGAAAGAAGAGGAAAGCTTCTGGTGCTTGAGTAGGCTGGGGAAGGGCTCTCCTGGGTGGCCCCCAAGCCCCTCTGCCACATCCCCAGCTCAGGCGGGTGGCAGAGGCAGCCGGGAGCGGTGGTGTTGGCAGAGTCGGCCAAGTTTGGGAACAGCAGGGCACAGGGTGCGACAAGGCAGGTGTTCCTCCCTGATCCTCTGCTCCTAGGCTTGTGTCTCACTAAAGATACAAGAACCCAAACCCAGGCTTGCCTTGAAACTCTGCAGCTGTGCCTAAAACTGGAGACTCAGAGCAGCCAAGAAGGGGGAGCGGAGACACGGTTCTTCAGGCAGCACGTGCCCAGGACAGCGTGGCTGAAGGCATGAAGCAGCCCCACGGAAGGGCCAAGGTGTGGGCAGTCAAAGAGACCTGCAGAAGGGTGAGACGGGAGCAGCAGGTTTTGGCAGGAGGGAAGTTGAAGCTCTGCACCAGCCAGGAGAGCAGATCTGGGCCTGGGGAGCAGGCAGGAACAGTCCCCTCCAGCACTGCCAAGCTCCTCTTCTCCATCTCCACCTGGGGTGAGTTGGTCCTTCATCCCGTCCTCCAGCTTGCTGGACAGCCCATGGAAACAAACAACACTGGAGGGACTCGGAAGCCATCTCAGAAATCCTTGTAGAGAAAAGCAGGCCAGCAGCCAGCCCACCTGCAGACTCTAATCCCACTGCAACCGGGAGGTCTCCTCCTCTGTTCCTGGCCACCATGCATTAGGTGCCTGTTCCCTGGGATGGATGTTTGCATCCCACCATGGCCAGCAGACCAGAGCCAGGAGCTTCTGCAAGGCCTTGTCAGAGGCTGCTTTTGCTGCAGCCATGAATGCACCGAGGAACTGTGCATGGTGCACAGCCCCAGGGCTGTGGGTTGGGTGAAAACGGGAAAGTGCCGGGAGGAAAACAGACTGGGTCCCAAAGTCGGCAGGAGACTGGCCAGAGGCTGGGAAATCTGCTGGATGAAGAAAGACCAAGAGAGCTGGGGCTGCCCAGCCCAGAGAAGAGAAGGCTGGGGGGAGACCTGAGGTCTCCCGGAGGCGAGGGCGGCCGAGCAGTGCTTTCACCAGTAAGATGTCTGTGCCTAAGGACAGGGTCACCTTGCAAACTTTCTTCCAGACTGATTTCCAAGCCTACAGCTGAACTTCATGAAGGTGCTGAAGAGACAGAGAGGTTAAGCCACATCACAGTGCCTTGGAGCCTGCAGTGCTGGTCCTGGGAGGCACTGGCTAAGATGTGACAGGGCAAGAGATACTCCTAGGGCTGCTGCGAAACAGCCTGACGTCAGGTAGGGAGAAGAGATGTTTCAAGGTAAGGATCATGGCAGCCCTTGCTGCCATTTGGCTGTGCTGATGATGAGGACCTTCATCCCTGGGAAGCGCCAGAGGGCCCAGCACGTGGGAAGGGCTCTGGGGCACAGACCTTCTCCCAGCCAGGAGCCATCTTGCCCTGCTGGTGGCACCAAGCACCGGCTATCAAGAGTGAACTTCAATTTCCTCAGCTGGAAAACGTAGTTTCTTTGGGATGAGCAGGAGAAGACATGCCACACCACGGGCTGGGAAGGTGCTCTGCAGCTTGCTGTAGGCTTGCGTGTGTGCTGCCTTCCCATGGGATGTTCCCGTCGGTGCTGGCTGGCTCTCCTCGGCTGGTCAGCTGGGCAGGACCACAGAGGCATGCCTGCAGAGGCCCAGGCACAATTTTACCCTCTTCTCATCCTTGTTCTTTTCAGATGCTGAGACCCTGCAAGACGTTTCACTCCCTGCTAGCCTCTACAGCCCATTTCACTGCTCACTGAAGGCAGAAGAAAGACTTCAGTTAACTTCCACAGTCCTGTGCTAGGACTAGAAGCCAGCTTTTCAATAACACCCTCTAAGCAGAATTTCTCATAACCACTTAGGGCAGGACAGCCGTGTTCAGAGAAATGTTCTCTTCATATTGAGCCCGTCCTTTCTTTTGCCCCCTCTTCCCGCATGAACACTTTGCAGCAAGCTGCAGAGCATGGCTGAAGGGGAGAGCTAAGCCTACTTCGGACAAAATAGCACTTAAGGGCCTGATGCTGCTGTAAAGGCCAGAAATAAAAGCCTAACCGAGAGCTGTGATGTGCTGGGCGGCTCCATGCAACAAGTCACCCGGATATCCCGAAGCTGCACACAGATGTCATTTATTTCACTTTGAGTCCAAAAAGCTCAGATGCCCTCTAAGAGCAGAAAACGCTCCAGGCCCATTTGACTTTTTCTCCTTCTTTCTTTTGTGCTGGAATAACAAATACAAAAGCCCATTCAGTGAAAAGACAAAACGCAGCAAACGTTCATCCGATGCTCAGAAGAGTGAAATGTCCATTTGCTGGCACAGGCCAAGGCACCAGCCCCAGGCACAGCCTGGCCCGCTGGGACCACGAACAGCTATTTTCTCCCAGGTTCCTTCGTATTTTGGAGCCGAGCAATAGGTGAGCTTGGCTCAACAGTGAAAATACCTATGAGAGGAAAGCAGAGCTGGAAAGATCATCGCGGGGTCCCTGCAAACTCCTGGCTGGGACGACTTAAAGCCCACCTGGTTTTGGTTAGGAAACTGTCTCAAATGGGTCTTATGAGACACAAATGTGACGAGAAGCCAAAGCTCTGCTGTCTCCTGCAAAGGCTGGTGAAGCTGGGTAGCGAAGTGGGCGAGAACTGTTGACCGTCAGGCTTTGGGAGCAGTCCTGGCCACCCCAGCGCGGGGCTGGATCCGGGCTGTCCCGTCCCCGGATCTCCAGAGGAACGCTGCAGCTTCCTTGATGCTGGTGCCCAGCTTTGCAAACACGCACACAGCTCTCAGACAGACGTGCCAAGACCTCTGCTGCCTGTGATTTGAGTTTTCTGCCTCTTGTATGAGAAGGGTTTGTCACAGGTTTGCTCTCCACTCTACCTCGGCCACATGTGAGTCCCATTCCTTGCTGACCTGTCCTGCCTTGCATTCAAACCTGGCAGATGCTCTTTCTGAGCTGGAATAGTTGTCTCCTGCAGATGAGTGCAGGCAAGCAAGTGAAAAAGCTCTGCGTAGCCTTGCTCTGCTTCTATTTGTAAATCAGTTTCCAGCAGAAACCCCTTTTTCCTCTTTGCTGAAAGCCACCAGAGGTGCTCTGTGGCAAGAAGGATCTCATCCTCCTGCCCCAGCAGCAGCCCCACGAGCTGTGTCTGTTCCCTCCTGACCCCCGACTGCGTCTGCCGGCAGCAGCTGGGGCTGCGGGAACACGCTGCTGCTCTCGGGCCAGCTACCAGCCAGGTCTGGCAACGCTGCTGCGAAACCAATCTTCACACAGCTTGGAAAAGACAGATTTTAGTCTGGGAGTAAGGAAAAGGGATTCCACTGAGCATGGAAAACTCCCAAGGAGGGGTTTCTTGCCTGGCAGCAAGGCTACGGGGCGGCAGATGTGCTGGTGGGGGCTGATTCCTTCCTTCACGGCTGCATTGCCCGCTGCTTCTGACTCCCACCTCGTTTCTCGGAGCTAGCCTTACGACTCTCCACCTGCATGTCAAAAGCAAGCTCATTTTCTGTGACGGATTAAGTGCCTGGTGTGACAAATGTACTTAAAGTCAGGCAGGAAGACTCCTCTGCAACCTGCAAGGGAGCGTTTAATATTCTAACTGAGCGCCTGCCGGTGCGGGGGTGATGCAGACGCCGCCGGCGTGGCTGGCTGTACACCCCGTGGGCCGGCAAGGACGCCCGTGCGGCTCCACGGTCCCTCTGCTCTCTGTCGTGCACTGACAGGGGCTGGAGGAGACATCGTGTGGTTCTGGCGTGGTGCAGCCATGCACAGCCCTTAGTGTCTCAGGAGCAATGTTGACAGTGTTGTTTTGTTTTAAATGGAATTAATGAAAACATCTGAGCGTCCTGTTGTGTAATACAAATCCTGCTGCAACCAAATCTTAAACCCTTCTCTGTGGGATGCCTGTCACTGTACCTCCCGAAAGAACATCTTCTGCAAAGCAAAGGGGTGAGAGTGAAATTCTGGCACTGTTCAAGGCTCCTGACATAACCCTTCCTCCTCCCATCAGCGCTGGCTTTCCTGCAATGATTGCTGAGGTACTGGAGGACCAGCGGAGCGGTTCCCTGTATTGCAATGCTAAGCTTGGGTGGGCTGGACGGGCCCCGAGCGTGCCTGTGAGCAGTGTCCGAGCGCGTCGGGCTGGAGCTGTTGCAATGCCTTACCCTCAGATGTCTGCAGAACCAGCGTTTTGCTGTACGGGCTGACTCCTGTTTTGTTGAAGGCTTTGACACGTGCGCTGTACGTGCTGTTGAAGTGAAGCCCGTCCACCGTGCACATGGTCTCCTTGCCCACGTACACCTCCTGCAAAGCAAGCACAATTAGTGCCCAGACCACGGAGTCCCAGGGCTGGGAGAACAGCTCCCGGCGGTCGTCACCCACAGGGTTCAGCCATGCTCTGCTGTCTGGGGCAGACTTATGAGCACTGGATATGGCTAAAGCAGAGCAAAACGGCCCTACGATTTGTTCTTTGACAATATTGCACCATAAAACCAGTTTCTGTAGGGCAAAGATATGCTGCTCATATATGACCAAGTCATTAGGCATCAATCCCAGCCAAGTTCCCACTGAATCGCGGAGGAGCTCTGCCAGAGAGAGGAATTTATACAAACTGAGCCTAGGACACAGAAACATCCTTGCAGAAAACAATTTTCCATGCTCTTGGGTGGCAGGATCAAAGCATTCCTTGGACGAAAACAAGGTGATCGCACCGAATGGGCACCGACTCACCGGCTTCTGCTGCCGCAGCCCTGCTCAGAGGAATGGAGCGAGCAGGGACAGCGGTGAACAGGCCTACAGGCTACTGAAACACCAGGCTCACAAAAAGGTGTATTTAGCAAATCCTAAGATAAAGCCCTGTTTGCTGCCCTTTGTGGAGCAGATGGAGGCTCTGTGCAGGCAGCTCGCCCGCGTGGGAAAGCTTCGCTGCCCTGCTCCCACTCCAGAGCTGCTGCGCTTTGCTGCCCGAGGTGATGGGGTGCTGCTGCTTCCAGAGCCAACGCTTGAATCTGGCCCCTTTCCTCGCAGGTGGGTGCATGTCCCCAGAGCTTATAGGGGTGCCTGCACGCTCCCCTGCACTGCAGAGCAGAAGTGATGGCTTCCACCCCTCCCGAGACCCTAACCAGGGCTGGGAGCAGCCCAAGCCGCAGTGGACCTGGGAACAGCGACGAGTCAGTGCTCGGGGTCAAGGAGCGCAATGTAGGCATCCTAATGAACCGAGTGAGATCGGTGATGGGACGCTAAGGTGGCCCTGATCTACCTGGGCTCCAGCACCCACAGAGCTCTCCGGCAGCCAGCACCCCATGAGAGAGCACAGCTCTCGCTTCACCACCCCAGGCTCACTGCAAGGAGTCCCTTTGTGGCTTGATGCCCAAAGGCAGGACACGTCCTTGCCTCAGGACATTGTCCCAGTCTCTCCTGCCCGTTTGCGCGGGAGGTAGCTAACAGGCTGGGCTACACACTGACCTACTCTCGGCAGGGACTGTCACCCATACTGACAAACTCTGACTGTCACCCGTACTGACGTACTCGCTGGGCAAATCGCTGCCTGACACAGTTGGGCAAAATTGCTGCTTTCGGGCAGGACAATGACTCAGTGATCTGAGAAGCCAGCAACATTCCCCTTCGTGCCACCAGCCGTGTCCCATCGGCTGGAGCAGCCCTCTATAACCCCAGAGGCAGGAACACCGCGCACACCCAAGCCCCTTCCCACTGCTGGCGGGAGAAGGGAAGGTTTGGAATTGCCCTTGCCTGGCTGGGGTGGCTGTGCTGAGCCTTGGTCTCCCCGCACCCAGCCTCCTGCTCCCTTCTCTCTCCAGATCCCACCCGCATCGCCTCTCCTCTGCCTCGACTCCGCTCTGGCTCCTGCCTGCCTGAGTTTCTTGTGGATGAATTAAGAAAACACGATGGGCTGGTCCCTGCGCCTGCTCTCAGTGGATGTGAACACGCCAGGATAATTATCAGCGTGTCGGATCAGAGAAAAATCATATTTTAATTGTGTAATTACAGCAATTTAAAAGCCCTCAGGCCTTAAACACCTCTGCTTGCTGGCAGCTGGCAAACCATGAGTTTTTCATGGCAATTAGCATACCTTGCATGAAATATTTAGCAACCTAAAAAGACGGAACTTCAAATGTGTTCTTTGCATTTGCAAGTCATATCGGTCACTGGAAAGGTATTTCCATGCCCTCAAATAACCTTGACCCTCAAAAGAGCCCGCAGCTTGTCTGCACCGTCGGCTTCCCTGGGCACCCCAGCAGTGAGTCTCATGTTTTGAGGGAAGGAGGGGACTTGCAAAAAGCGTGGGGAACTCTTTGGTCACTTCATGGCAGGGCACTACTGGAACCAGGAGCAACACCTTGCCGCTGGGACTGGCTTCGTGCTCTGAGCACCTACCCTGAACTGGCCGCCGTTGCCGTCGTCGAGCTCGAGGATGTAGCCTTCCACCTGCACCGTCGACAAGGGGGGCTGCTTCCAGGACAAGGTGGCACTGTTGTTGTGGGTGCAACACTCCTCTAGCTGCAGGATCGGGGGGGCCGGCACTGGGGAGGAAACTAAACACAAATTAGTGTAACCCTGGCTGCTAGCACCACAGAGGAGGAGCGGGGGGATAGCCGCGGCAGGCACCTTTCAGTTGGAGCGTGGAGGATGCATTTATTGCCTTGGAAGCCAAGGGACGTAACTGTGATCTCGCGGGTGTGAGGGAGCAGAAAGGACAGTTCTCCAAACAAGCTCCACCATCCTCCACCCCGCAGCCTGGTGAAGCTGAGATTTCCCCAGAGCTTCTCTGCTTTCTTCCCGTTTTCTAATGAATTTTGGTGAAACACGGCAGCGCAACAATGTACCTGGTATAGAACTGCCTGGGATCTTCACAGCAGCCGGTCCCAAACCTGGGACACCCTCCCAGACACGCTGCGGAGCTGGCTGCAGCCGAGGGCCTGCCCTTACCTACAACCCAGCGGCAAGCGCTGCTCCGCTTTTCCACCACGCAAATTCACTGCAACAAATCCACATCACAACAAAACAAGGGATGCTGGAGCAGCAGAGACAAACCTCGGGCCCTGCAGAATAGGGAGTGCCTGACCAGAGTCTGTCCTGAAAGGGGAGGTGATTGCACGAACTGCAAGGCTTGGTGAAGAGACGCGTGTCTCTCAATGATGCTGTTTCAGTGCTAGGCAATGATAGCCCTTGACCTGCCAAAAAAAAGGCTCGGGGTCCTTCCATGCTGTCCCAAGCAGAGCACCCACTCCGGGGGTCCCCGTGGGGCCCCCAGGGCTGCCCCCTCTGCCAGCTCAGCCAGCAAACAGCTCTTGCTGCTGAACACCTCCCGGGGAGGCACAAGAGGCACAAGCACATTTCAGAGAGGTCCCCAAACAGGCACCAGACGGTCCCTGTCCTCAGCCTCTGCATGCCGCTGGAACTGAAGCTGGGACGCTCTGCACCCTGTAGCCTACATAGGGGACATAAAGGACTGTCGGGGCTTTTTCTGCTCCAACTGCTGTATTTGGGCATCTGCAGGTGTGTAATGCAGCCCACTTCTCTGCAAAGCACGGAGGGGCGACAGCAGGACAGGGAAAGGGGATGTCCACTGACACATCCCATCCCCTGGCCAAGGAGAGCCCTCCCAAACTTCCTCCCAACAGAGCTGCTCGTCCTCCATCCTCATCCTCACTGCCCAAAGTCTGACAAGAGCCAGCGAAAAAAAAAAAAGACATGGACAATCCAGACAAGACGTGGAGGAGCCACGGATGCCTGGGAGAGAAAAGATGGGACTCGCTGGCAAAGGTTCACCGTTCACCACCTCCCTCTGCGACTCCACCTCCTGGGTCGGATCCTCAGCAGGCACCACCAGGCTGGGAGCCTGG